AGGAATAATAATTTTTTGGAGAATATGAGATCGAAAGAAGAAATTTTTTTGGGGTTTACGTGTAATTATTTTGGAAAATATGGGGTTGAGAGAGAGAAAAATGAATTATAAGAATGAGTTTAAAAATATGTATATAAGGATGATCTAATGAGTATTGATGTTCATCTTATATCAATTATTAATGACGTGTCATATAAATCTATTGGTGGACAAACTTATAGTGGACCTCAATACTTGAATTAAGTTTAAAATTCACTAATGAATTTATATGATACATTATTGGTGCTTAATATAAGATAAGTACATGTGCTCTTTAGATCTAAAAGGCAAATGAGACATTTCCAGTCAAACAAAAATCATTTCTAGAAATTTCAATAGCTGCCATGTTTTACTTTTGCTATTAAAATTTGGTTATTTTAAAAAAATGAGCAAAAAACTAATTATATATATGGTCCAAAAGTCAGATTCTATAAAAGCATGCTCTTAAGTTTATACACAAAGAATGACTTTTAAGCATTTTGGAAGATTCTATTCCCAATCAAATATTTCTTGTATTTAAATTTGATTAAATTTTATGAATGAAGACTAAAATTGACAAGTACAAAAAGGGCGGCTAGACAACAATGTTGCAACAATCATGCTCTGCAAATAGGCTCAAAAACATGGAAGACACGTGTCGACACATGATTAGACAGTTTGAAAATAAATAAAAAACAACACCCAATTATTATCTGCCACATCACCATGTCCCTCCATCCCTATCCTAAAAGTCGATGGATCAAGCTCTTGCGCAAAATATGAAACGATGAGAATGTGACAGGGAACATGGTTTGACATTTGGCCTATATGTATATGTTCATAGACGGAGACGAACTTCTCTACATGATAGGAGACGATACAAAATAGTACCACACGCTCAATCTTGAACTCTCAACAATATACATAATAGAGGATAATATAAAAGAGAACGAAGTACTCCAACTGAAATCACTACAAAAGATCCCACATTCTTACTCCATAACTCAAGATCACCATCTACAAGTCGTTGAAAACGATATTTACATAATATACATATGGCTCTATCTGATAGTTTAAGCTTTTACATCAAAACTAGAATATTCCAGAGTTCAAAGGCGATTCCTCTTTTTAGGAGCGTAAAAGGAGTTTGCCTCAAGTTTCTTTCAACGTGGAATTCAAAGCAATCCTATGTACCAGGGAAGAACAATAGCCAATTCATGTTGTCCATGGGATTGGCTTCGATGCCACGAACAATAGTATCCTTAAGGAAGCCACGATTACACCTCTCTAGTAGTTTGTTTGGCCATGATTGGGCCCATTATTTCTCCAAACAAAATTTGATTGGTTGGGTTCCTTATCTGCTAACTAGTTCCTTCAACATGTCGACATCAGCTATTCCTGGTGATGTGTCATTCACATTGGATCAGACCTATACAATATTGAGTCATTTACATATACCATTCACTTATTTTTGCATCCTGTTTAAACAAAAAATTGATATTAAAATTAAGTTTGAAAGTCAGATGACGGAAATTATTTATATGCTAGCCAACATGTCCTTCCTTCTCCAACTGGTAGAGGAACAAAATTTTGATACAACAAAAAATAGATTGTCCCGACATAAATTGAAGGCACAGATTACATGTACACTAACACAAGGAAACCAAAGAAAGAGGGATCAAAATAAAAAAAAATGATACAAAAAATGTTATGAACAAAATTTCTCCTCATAATCAATTAGAACTCACCAGCTTATTTCTTATATCTGAAGTTATTGCTTTGGCTTCAACTTCAGGACTAAAGTCTCTCTCGCTTGCGCACTTTTTCACATAGAAATGGAAGAAAAACGTTAGGGCGAAACTGTTGAGAACAGTGTTGAAAACCCATGCTCCCATCCCATTGCATCCACCTTTCCAAAAATGCAAAACAAGAACCCCAATATGCCATGCCAAGTTTGTAACAATCAGGATAATCTGGCAGAACAATACAAATGGGAAATGGGATTTTTTATTGAATCCAAGTTCAGTGAAAAATCTATAGCCATAGACTAACGAAAATACGAGGGTCATTGAAAGAATGGTTAAAACTTGAAAAGATTGTGAGAATTCAAGCCAGAGAAATGACATTAAGATGAGGATGGAATGGTTAAAGATTTGGAGAAATGGGAATTTCCGGCATCGTAAAATGGTGAAGAAGGTTTTGATGATATGGAGGAACCGGGAGAGGTAGAAAATGTATGACCAGAAGAACACGCGGCCAGAGGGGCGGGTTCCTAGTGGGAAACAGAGGAGCCACTGAAATGGGGTTTTCGACCGCTGCCAGAACCACCTTGTGTCGCGGATTTCTGCCACGGAGGAGGAGAGCATTCCTGTGAAGATGGTGGCAGAGATGAGAGCCATGGCCAGGCTGTGAAGTGCCGGAATAAGGCCTAGTGGGACAGGCTTGTGGCGGCGGAGCAGGAGGAGAAGGAGGTGAAGGGTGGTGGAGATGGCAATGTAGGCGGAGATTGAGGTGATGAGAAAAAACCAAGTTGAACCCCATGACTGAGTTGGACTCCACCGGAAATAAACAACCGCCGGATGCTCGGCCAGCCAGTAGTTCATCTCCGGCATGATTTGCAGCACCATTTGGATCAAATCCATGCAAAATTTATCAAAATTTTCTTGCAGATTAAAGTGATAATAACAGGAAAAATGATCTTTTCTATTAGTATTTATTAATAGCGAAAATGATATTAGACGATAATCATGTAGAAGGTATAAACTTGTGGAAGAAGGTATTTATCTATGTCATTAGTGAGTTCATGAATGGAAACTTCAAATGGGATTATCCAATTAACTTATTCCGTGACGTGTTTCTTGACCTTTGGATGGAAATTGTCAAAATAATAAAATGGTGATTGTTGGATTTTTTTTTATTTTTTTTTTAAGTTTTTATGGTAATTCATTCAATTTGTTTGATTAACGAAACAAGTAATTCGATAATATAATAATTTGTCGCTTAAGTTGTCAAAATTTTTAAGTTTAGCCATATGTCGAGGCAGGGGCGGAATTAGAAAATAACGTTAGAATATAATGAAATTTAAAAAATTTCGAATGAACTCACACCATAAGAGTCTAAACTCGTAATATGATTGTAGACTCTTTAACAAAATTTGAATAATTGAGCATTGGACTCGGGTTGGGATTCAAACTATAGCTAGGCCAACACAAATATTTGGATCAAAATTGAACAATTTATTCTAAATTTTCCATATGGGTTGGGAGACAAGGCTGGATTATAGCCCAACCTAGCCCCCACTATCTCCGTCCCTATATTCAGGTCAAGTGATCCAAAAAAAATTTAAACATAAATCACCCGTTAAGGAAAATGGTGAATAAGACAAGGAATCAAGCTACCAATTTTAACCATTTGGTATAGTTAAATATTAGATTTTTAGTAGATTTTAATAGACTTGATAAAATATGTGCTTGAAAATTGTTTATGTATTACATGTCTACTATTGTGTTTTCACACTATAAATTTCTAGAATTCTTTCTCTAGAAGACTTTTGTGAGACACCCTAAAATTATGCCTTTGTCCAGAATATTGGAACCCTATAAAACGTGGTGGCCTATTTTCCAAGTTGGCGGCAAGAATAGAAGTGAATATGTAAAAGAATTATCTGAATTTATTGTATTATGTGAAATCTTTGAGAGTCTGTATATAATACAAGTTATGGATATGTTTATGAATAAAAAATCACATTCAATTTTTGTCGCAAATTATAAATTTTATTTTGTAACATAAAATACGTCGTTCGTTCGCTAATTCATCGGTGATACTAGCAAATTATTTCTGTTAGTGTCCGTATTGCACGTAAGTGTTACGATATGAACCATTACATGATTGATTTCTAGATCAGTTCCTACAAATGAGAAAATTTAAAAAAAAATGGAATAATTTTGGTAATTGACTATCTATGTACTTAACCATAGATGTCAATTAATTCACACTTGACCATAGAATTCTACCTACAAATTTGACCATGAAAATTACACAATTTTTTTCTAGATCCACCTGCCTTTTGACCAATTTCAATCTAAAGAAATATTACCAAGACGTCATTGAATAGGTTCATCGTACCCGACAATATAGATAAATTAAAAAAGAATCAATGTCTTTTGACACCTTAATTTTTTGAATGAAGTATAGGGTTAAATGCATCGGGTTACTGGAATTTAGAAGTAATACATTTAGTCGGAATAAAAAATTTTTAATCTAAGTTAAAATCAACAATTAATTTTAATCACATATTTATTAGGATTCATAATTTTTCAACCACACATTTTATCAATTTTTATAAAAACTAAAACTCTGATTTTAAAAGAATTTTCAAATAATAGTTGTCAAATAGAGACTAAAGATCCGTTTGATTGCAATCGTGAAATTTGGGTGAAAAAAAATGAATTTCAGGAAATTGAATTGCCTAGAACTTGTTTTCCAATGAATTGTCAATTAGTTGTATTTGATTAGTATAATTTTTCATCTGAAAAATATTGAAAATTTGGATCTTTTAGTGTTCGTTTGACTTTATTTTTCATGAAAATTGTCAATTAAAGGGATATAATTTGTTACAATTCCACTTAAAGTATGTTTCCTTTGACAAAAAAAAAAAAAACCAATCAAGAATTTGTGACCGTGTGGGAGGAAGTGGAAATTCCAATTGCCAAGAAAAAAGTCCAATCAAACAATCAAAAAGTGGGAAAATGGACCATGGAATTGTCACCCTATCAAACAGGGCCTAAATGTTGTTGAATTATATCTTAATTAGATCCTTAAAATTTTCTAGGCTTTAAAAATCAGAAATCGCACTACTATTGGAAAACTTATCACAGCATGAGAGGTTGCTTAAGGCAAAATGGAAATGCTATCAAATTCTGTCAGTCTAATCACATGATTTGATGATGAACTAAGGTCATAAGGTGATCGAACTTGGATGTAGACTGTAAAATAAGGATTTGATGATGAACTGTGATCAAATTTCACCCCTTTCTTTCAAATCTGACAGAATAGTTATAAAATAGGTAATACGACGTGAAGGAATATTCAAGATTTCTTTTTTGGGTTTCGATAATCTCCAGAGACTTGGAGGAATCGCCTATTTGTTGGGTCTTGATGGAACCTACGGACAATTAGCATTTTTGAGCTACCACAACGGGTAACATCAACCTTATGTTGGATACATATGGACTCAAGGGAAAGACGATGGTTTGTATTTGCGACGGGGTGCTCTTTCGACAGTTTGTTTGATTTTGTTGGAGCACAAAGTTGATAGGCAACTTGGTGTTTCCAGATTCGGTCTGAAACTTGTACTGCAATATGTATTACACCTATGGTATTGTGATTTGAGTGTTCAATTAGGGTTTTATACGTGCGATAAAGTCCTAATCACGCCAAAATGAAAATCGAAAATGAATTTTTAGAATAGCTAGTCAGAGTTGAACGTGTGTTGCAAATTATTCTGAAATGCTTTATAAGTGTTTTGAAAGTAATATTTAACCCTCCATTTATACTTTTGATCTAAATACGGGAGAGATGTAAGTTTTTGAAAATAAATGTTAATTATTAAAGAAGGGCAAATTAGGTCCAATAGCCTAAAAAATTAACTAATTTGAAAAATACTTAATACCTAATTAAATCACTTAAGGACGTAATTAATACGTTCTAAAATCCCAAAACTTCCAAAACTCCCCAATATATCTTATCCACCACCCCCATTGTAACCGGCGAGTACCGTTTCATCCATTCAAAACCTTCAACTTCTTGCAAAATTCATCCAAAATCATAGAAACATTGGAAAATATAGGTGATTCCAAGCTTTTTCAGCCGTCGATCAAACGTTTACAACCCATTTTCTCTGGAAGTCTGGTACCATTTTAAGGATGGCCACTAAGTACAGGTTTACATCTACTCTTGGGTAATTTACAGTCCGAATTCCCATTGTCTTCAAATTTCGAAACAGCATCATTTGCCTGTGCTATGATTGACTGGAAAGAGACCCCCAATGCTCATGTTTTCAAGGTTGTCGTGTTGGGGTTGCGAAAGGAGGAGGTAAAGGTGGAGATTGAAAATGGTAGGATTCTGCTGATAAGTAAAGGTATTTTTGAGGTTGTTTTGCTTTGCTAGTTAAGTTGAATTTCTCACTTGTAGATGCTTGGCTACGTACAGGAAATTGCATTTAGAAAGGTGATTTAGGTTCGGCAAAGAATTGTTATACACTTGCCCTAAGCAAGGTCTGTAAGAAAAAAGAGAAGGATTGAATACGATTTAATTCTACAGTCAATTAGAAATGAAAAAAAAAACACGTTAGTGGTAAAATTTAAAACTAATTAAAGTTTGATCGTTCAACTGGATTTATAGTGGGATAGAGTTCTAACAAGCAATTATAGATCTGTTATGCTAATTACTGTTAGAAATTCTTGAAGAAATTGATAGGTGTTGAAATTGATGAGAAAATGTAAGTAGTCCAAGCTTGTGAGCCATTAGCATTCTCAGTAGAGTCCTCGAGGTTTTGAGGACTAGATTCCTCTCTGTTCTTCTTTTTAGCTAAAGTAGATAGTTAGATACTACTACATTTGTCGTTTGATTCTTGCAAAAAAAATAGCAGTTTTATGTTTGAAAACATTATTGTTTACAAAGAAGAAAAAAAAAAGAATAGAATTGCTCTCAAAACCTTTTTTATTTGTTTCTTCTAATGAATATGTCTTAGTCTTAATGGAAGTGCTGTCTGAATCTTTGTGGAATTTAGAAGTAATACATTTAGTTCTGTTTGGTGGGAATTAAAATTTTGATTTTTAATCTAAGTTAAAATCAACAATTAATTTTAATCACATATTTATTGGGATTCATAATTTTTCAACCACACATTTTATCAATTTTTATAAACACTAAAACTCTGATTTTAAAAGAATTTTCAAATAATAGTTGTCAAATAGAGACTACAGATCCGTTTGATTGCAATCGTGAAATTTGGGTGAAAAAAAATGAATTTCAGGTAATTGAATTGCCTAGAACTTGTTTTCCAATGAATTGTCAATTAGTTGTGTTTGATTAGTATAATTTTTCATCTGGAAAATATTGAAAATTTGGATCTTTTAGTGTTCGTTTGACTTTGTTTTTTATGGAAATTGTCCATTAAAGGGATAGAATTTGTTACAATTCCACTTAAAGTTTGTTTCCTTAGACAAAAAAAAAAAAAAAAA